CTTCGATACAGATTAGGGTAAATAGTCAACTCAAGTCTCCCACTATCAGTCAGGTACCTCGGTAGCGACACATTGGGGGCTTCCTTCTTCTGAAAGTGCACTTGGACTAGGTCATGCTGCTGCTGCTGCAGCTGCTGCAGCAAAAAAGGACTTATTTGTGTAAAAAATCCAACCAAAGCCCCACCAGCACTATTATGTGGAATGCAAACGACGCTGAAAGCCTACAGAGAAAAGAAACAGACTTACGAGGAGTGGATGCAGTTCGGGGCGACGGCTGAGTAGTGGAAGCAGAAGGCAGTCTAGGCAGAGGACATCAACACAGCCCAGGATGAGACCACGGGGCAAATGGACAGCTGCGATGAGACCACGGAGATGCGGAACGGCCTTTTTATTTTCCACGGGCTCCGCTGGCAAACCTAACATCCCAGAACGGAGGTAGAACAACGCGAACCACAAAATGGTGCTATTTGCCAAATCCGGCGCCCTTGCCCGCAATTTACGTGCTCCGCGCTAGGCCAATCATGGAGGCAGAGTCTTAGAGAATCCCCGACAGCTGATTGGCTGATAACGGTAGCTCACGTTGCGCGCGAAGACGTGGGAGTCCCCCGATTGAGCGCATGAGCCGAATGCAAACGTTATTGTCGCAATATGACACCCTACGGCCTCCACAAAAAGATAAGTCCTGCCGACACAGGATTTCGCTGCTGTTTCTTGTCAGGGAGCTGCGGGGTGCTATCGTTAGGTAGCTAATTAGAAGCCTAGATTTTAGTCCTTGATTGATTATTGAGTTGCGTCGCCATAAATTAGTAGTCGTCATTGCTGCTACTAGATCATTGCCCCAGTTCCAAGTAGATAGTTTGCTCGAGTTTTGGGCTAGCATAGTCCTTAAGGAGTTCTAATGAGTTGAGTTTCCCAGACCGCAAAAAAGTGTCAGACTGAAATATTACTATACTTCGTCCCGGAAATCAAGTCCAAGTCTCGCGACCGCGGCGACTTCCAAAAACAGTCCAACACCAGTCTTTAATGTTATTAAAAATTATGACGGGAACGTTACCAACGGACCCAGTCATAAATATTAATCCACACCTTTCTAAATTGTGTATTCCCTGCCAAAGTATGAAGCTTTTCAGCGTCGAATATCATCCATATAACGGTAAGTCTTGGAATCTCGTCATCCCAAGAGATATAATTATTAAAATTATTTATTTATTACTTGGGAACAGAATGACGTTTATTGTTACAGCTGCTGTCAGGCTCCGAGAAATGAGGCCCAAGGCAAAGGCGGAGAGGGACAAGTGAATTCCGTTATTGGTCGGTGAATGTTCATCAACTAGTGTTTATTGTGTAAATTTTCGGGTCTGTTCCCCAGCTCGTCGTCAGACAAATGTGAGATGCACGAAAACAGTTAGCTTAAAACGATGCCAAACGCAATATTCTATGGTTGGCCAGAATGTGCGCCATTAAGCATCAACTGCATTTAATTATCCGATCAATAGAAGCTGTTTTTGCTTCGATCTGATATTGAGCACTGTGTAATTTGCATCCAAATTGATATACCTGTTAATACGCGCCTCGTCTGGGTTCATTGCCTCCAGGAATTTGCGGTCCCTCCTAGTTGGGCAGGTGCCAACGATCTGAGTTTTCTCCGATTTACATTTGTTTTCTGTGTCCAGTGTGTGCATAGCACCTTGGGATAGGTGGTCTCGTCTCCTCACCACTAAGTGGTGTTCATGCATACGGGTGTATAGAGATCTCTGGGTTGACCACCATAGACTGCATCATGTGCGTATGATGGTGTACCGAAGAAGACGAGGGAGACCGGACTGGCCGTTTCTGGTTTTTCAGCTATAATCGGCCAGTCATACCCAATGCGAAGTGCAGACCAACGGGGATTCATACCTGGAATCTTTGATCATTGAGCCGTATATTTTTTTATTTTTCTGCGGCTTTCTGGTGTACGCTGCCATCACGAAAATCGATTTCGGGGTAAATAACTAGATGTCGACTGGGCCACTGTAAACTCGGAAAACGAAAATGTTGGAAAAACCATCGTAAGTATTATTTCCAAGATCATTCACCAAATGCGGGCATCTACCTGATGAAAGAAGGTAGCATCTATGTGAGCTTTTATTGTACGGAAGAGCATTTGCAAGCTGTAACCTAGAACATACAGAGTGCCGAAATTAACAGAAAGGCGCCTAATCACTGACAAATCCTCGCAAACGACCGGACCAAAGCTTTCAAATAAGTCTGAATGACTATAAGTGAATTGTAAACATAAAATAAATATTGTAAGTAAGTCAAGTTACTAGGAATATCTACTTTTTAAAGAAAAAAAAACTGACAATTTCCGAGTAAAATTAAGTTCTAAACGTACAGAAAGCCTGTCCATGCAAGAAACGAGCAACGAAATAAGCATGGTAGAAAAACGTTTAAAAATAGTCCTTTTGTGAAGATTGGACTGAAATATTTCTGAAGACTAAGTATGCTGTACATTACGGCTGGTATCAAACGGCCCACAGTTCGCGTGTAAATTCCAATACAGTTTCACGGGTATTACCTACATGTTTTCCTCTGTTAATTGTTTGAGATGCTGTTGACTAAGACAAACAGGTTTTCGCTCGATTTCGCCGATACGGACGTTACAGGGATAAAATTATTAATTAGATCACACGTTGGCAAACCGGTCATTGAATAAAAGGTTTGGTTTTCTAAAAAATGAGCTGTTTGCTTGCACCCCGCTTCATCTGATTTACGGTGAGAGAAGAATTCAATTTTCAAGTGCGTTAAGTCCCCTTTGGTAGAGCTCTCGAGCTTAGATTAGTCTCGTCTTACAGAAGCACCCCTGCGGATGCACACACCTAGGTTAGGTTACCTATTA